AAGTATAAGAACACAATATTGTTGGTTCATGATAATCCTCATAATATAAATGAGTTAGACAACAAAGTAGATAGTCACATGTGTGAAACTAGAAAGGACACTACAATTAACTAGCCACATAATAATCTAGAAAAGATACTACAATCAACTAAACAATATTCAATTTCTCAACTATATTTTCTATACAAAAAAATGTTTTCAAATTTATCAATACATGATATTTTTAAAACTATATATATATATATATATATCTTTGGGAGAAAATGGGGGCCCAAAAAAATGAAGGCCCCAAACGACTGCTTTAATGGCCTTATAGTCGAGACGGCTCTGCATGCAAGCAACAATATAAATTTTTTCAATAAAATACATACCTTTAAACTAAATTATAAAAATAGAAAAGACACTGAGACTGTTTTTTATCATTATTCACTCCAATTTTGTAGTAAAGAGAATTCATCAATTTTACAGATTGAATTTCTAGTAATAAAGATCTAAAATATTTTTTGAGAGAATAAAGAGATGGGGAAGGAACTTGATATTTTCGAAGAAAAAAAGTAATTGTGCTTCAAAATTAGGACTAAAAAGTGTAAATGGATGTGGTTACCAGCTGTCTTCACACAGTAAACAAAAATTAAACATGTGTATCTAAAAAAGGAAGTGTACACACGTGGTTGTAGGAATTGACAGTACAATATAATGTTTCTTACAATATTAGTGCACTTCGTCCTTAACTCGTAAGAGAAAGACCAATATTCGAACATCCATGAGTAAAATTAGTAACATGCAAAAATGAAATCCTACAAATAACATATTCAAAAATCAAAAAATCGAATAAATACCACCAAGAAATTGAAACAAATACTCATTAAAATTTGAAGGATAAAAATATGTATTTTACTATTATCACATATACAAGTAATTTTTGAAGAGAAAAGAAATGGATGCAGAAAAAGGGCAAAGGTTCACCAATTTCAATCTTGAAAGAAAAAGGGATAGAGATGGTTATACTTGTTGAATCTGTTTTAATCAAAAGATGGATATAATTTCAGCTCTTTACACATGGATATAAAATAACTATGTCCAATAAAAATAGAGCCAAATAAAGTCAAAAAATTTAAAGATTTTCATTGTATACTTTAGAAGATATTAGTAGTACTACGTGATGCAACATTTGGCCTAGCCTTATTTGGTTACGGACTTACGGTATAAATTACATTTTATTCATGTATAAAAAGTTGCATTAGTTTTACTATATTTGGTAGAAATTTTGTATTAGGTGGAAAAGTCAACATAACTTATACCATGTTTGGTTGGTAGGATTCTAAATATTGTATAAAAGTTATTCAGGTATTAATTTTATACGGTGTTTGGTTGTGTTTTTTATAGTCCTGCATAATTAATACCAACATAACTTATGAGGGAATCTATGTATAAGTTATGCAGAATAGAAGGTGGAATAAGTTATGCAGATATTTAGCTATATATGTATTAAAATAGTAAATTACACATTTACCCTTATTGATTTATTTTTAATTATTTTTTTTGAAAACTTTACCTAACTATACTATTTTCCTAACTTTTTTTACTTTTTTTTAATACACGAACTCTTTTTTTTTTTTTCTGTTTTCATTTGAATTCCAGATGTAATATATTATTAATATTACAAATTGAATTATATATATTTTGCTAGCACATATGTGTTAATCATATATTGGCGTTATATATTATTAAATATATTCCACTTATTTAATTAACATGTATTATTATTTTGTTTAGGATGTAAATTTATACATAATTCATATATTTGGTATATTAAAAATGTATAAACAATATATACACCATATTGATAGAATATTTACATTATATAAAATAGAATATTAATGTACTTAAATATATTAATAGTATTTTATTTTTATAAGCTATAAACATAAAAAACAACAAAATGAAAAAATAGCAGTTTCAATTAAGTATAGAGGAAGAATTTTTTTTCTTACTTTTTATTCAAAAAGAGGGAGAATTTATACTATTTTCCTACTTATTTATTTGTAATAATATATATTAATTTGCAATAAATTCAATATTTAATAGTTAATAATTTATGTATTGTGATCCCTACATAACTAAATAATACAAATATAACTAAATCTTGTATAACTAATATCTGCATGACTAAATTCTGCATAATTAATACATGCATAACTCTAACCAGTAACCAAACGACCCCAAAATATTGTAAAGTCCACTATAAATTTGGGTTTATTTTATTGAATATTGATTTGATGTTCCTTCTGTATGTTGTGTACACAATTTATATAGGTCTCACATTTTAGTTTACTTATTACCATTATCCCCTATAAGTTTTACAAATCTCCAAAATCCCTCATTTTCGCGCATCAAATTAGTGTATCTCACGCATCATATTAATGTATCAGCGCTGATATTATTGTATCTCGCGCATCAGATTAGTGTATCATGTATAAAATGTACATCAGATTAGTGTATCATGTATAAAATGTAATGTATCTTACTTAACGATTAATGTATCTCGCGCATCAGATTAATGTATCAACGCTTATATTATTGTATCCGTTTGAGGGATTTCTGTAATTATAAACTTTTAAGGAATAGATTGTAATTTTGCCTTAAAAGTATGTAATTTCTGTAATTTGCTCATTTATTTATTATTTTAGCGAACCACTTGTCCTTGGCTAAATCACATGTCCTTTGACTACTTTTTTTTCCTACTCTTCTAGATCTTTCTATTTTTTCATTCTCATTCTTCCATATTCCAATAATAATCTTCACTCAGAACCAAATGGGGCAAGAAAGTATTTGGAAAGAAGCAATCTTTTAGAAGAGGTATGTCACTTTAATATTACTTTAACTTTTCAAGATTCTTTTTCAATTGTTCCTGCAATTTTCAGGTATATATATGTTGATTAGTTGTTTTGATATGCATTTAATTTTCTTTTACCCTTTTGGGTTTGAAATAATTTCTATTTGGGCATCTATTGTTTGAGGTATTTAAAACTTTTGATTAAGGTTCACATATAAAGTTGTGATTGTCAAAGTTTTGATCTTGAGATTTGCGAATTGCAGGGACCAAATGGGTAAAAAGAAGATAATTGATTTTTCCCTTTCTTTGTGAAACTCGATTATGGGTTTCTGATGTTGAAGTGGAATGATTAAAAATTTTCAAATCAATTTTTTCTTTTAATTTTGTTTTCTATTTTTTAATTCTATGTGTGGATATGCTAACGCGCCACTGAAATCAAATAAGGGGGTAGCACTTAAAAGATGAGATATCGAAAACATTAATTTTATTACTTTGTTGTCATATCATGGTAAGGCAAACAGTAGTATTGTACTAAACGAAATATTAGTTGTACTGCCAGTTCCTATAACCAGTTCCTATAACCACGTTTGTATACTTTCTTTTTTAGATACACATATTTAACTTTTTATTCACTGTGTGAGGACAGTTGATAACCACATCCATTTACACTTTTAGGGGTCGTTTGGTGTGAAAGATAACTTAAAATAGTCCTAAGATTAAATTATAGTGCCACTTAATTTGTTGTTTGGTTGGCAAGTCTGGGATAACTTATCCCGGGATTAATAAATAGTACCGGGATAAGTTATCCCTTCCCATGGATGGTATAGTAATCCTGGGATAAGTTATCCCGGGATGAAATGACTAAATGACAAAAATGTCCCTTTAAACACTTTTTATACATTACTTTTCACATCCATGAAGGGTATTTTTGTAAACTTATATGTTGTTCTTAAGATTTATTACTTTGAATACAACAAACCAAACACTCAATAAAAAATAATCTTAGCATAACTTATCCCATCATAACTAATCTCATCATAACGTATTCCATCATAACTAATCTCATCATAACTTGAATTCAAACCAAACGACTCATTAGTCCTAATTCTCAAGCATGGTTACTTTTTTTCTTCAGAAATACCAAGTTCCTTCTCTATCTCTCTTTTCTCTCAAAAAGTATTTTAGATCTTACAAGAAATTCAATCTACAAAATTGATGATTTCTCTTTGCTACAAATAGGTCCTTTTCCGACGTTGTTCGAGAGCTCTTTTTCTTTTGTTTTCGTGCTGGTTAATTTTTTATTTTATTTTCTAAAAAAATTATGAAAATTTTATAGGTTCTCTATTTTAGAACGAATGGAAGGAGAATGATAAAAACAGCCTCAGTGTCTTTTCTATTTTTATAATTCAATTTAAATGTACTTATTTTATTGAAAAAGTTTATATTGCTGCTTCATGTCATTTTTATGACTTCTTATTATTTGATGTTTCTTGAATTTTGTATTTAGACATTCATTTTTAGAATAAATAATTTTGGCCACAATATTATAATCATGATTCATGCCTATTCACATTATGAACAAGTTTTATTTTGACCACAAAATATCCTTATTATAAGCATATTGAGATGACGAAATAGATGCATCTTGATTTCCTCCAACTCCTTACCTAATGCGAAGATGGAGTCCTCACTCCTGATCAAACCTATCAAAGCAAAAAATAAACTCTTACCAAATTCAATTATAATAAGCAATCGACAGATAACTGGTAAGTAAAGCTAAGGACTGGGTTCTCACTCTAAGACAGTACCAGTAATTTGAATTGTTCTCTCAAGCGAGTTGATTATCGGTATGCTTGCTTCGCTAGTAATGATAGATGATCAACAAGTCAAGCAAGAATTTCCCGCGATAAATGCGCGAATTGCACTGGTCATTGTGAGAAATGCTCTCTAAGCCAGTTAGTCAATGGAGGGACTGGGGCTCTAGGTATTTTCTTTCTTCTGACCGTAGAAAGAAACACTAAAAAGTCATTGCATAATATTAACTGAAAACATGAACTACCAATATCATTCTCAACATAACCACAAAATGTTTACCTGATTAAAAAAAAAAAATTGAAGTAGGTTAGATGATACATTAATAGACCCATAAAGTGATAAATTCTACTATAATTTGTTATCAAGAATGAGAAGTTCTTCCAACTAAGCAACAACTACTATGAATCTAATATCACTAGCAACTTGGCTTAGCATTTACTGATTTACTTGCGGTGCAAAAGGAAAAATGACCATATCACATTTAGAAAATTATGAAGAATGAAACTTATTAACTAATATAAAAGGTTTTTCTTCATATTTAAGGAATTAGGTTAATCAATTCAGACTTGATACTAGTTGATTGATATAGATTCACTAATTCGCTAAAACACAATACTAAGAGAAGCCAAATAAAACTGTAAGCACATTCAATGAAAATGTGTACCCCTAGAGGGACATTAATAAATTTTGAAATGTGAGAAATCATGGACCATTACAATCATAAACATTGTATAACTATTAAGCCTATATATTTCTCTACTCATGTCTAGGCTGCTAGATCAATTATCTTTAAACATATCAAGGACATAAGTAAGAAACTATTCGAAAACATGCAATTGATTGATTGAGTAATTTATTAGCTTAAAAGGTGAAATAAGAGATCCGTCAGCCTAAATACGAGAAGATTTTTCATTATATTTTCTATTTCGAAAATCAAAATTTTCTCTCAAGAATCTACTTTCCTTCAAATCCTACCTTAATTAGTCCAAAGACTTTCAGGATTGCTCCTAAGTTAAGAAAAACATGTTCCACACAGTAGCAAAGTACGTTACCTGAATAACTAACATCAACCAAAATTTAAAGATACATCAAAATCAAGAAATATAAAAGGTAAGCTATTGCAGCTCAGTAAGCAAACAAAAATATTAAAAATTGAAACATTATACCGTAAATAAATGAACTTTGAATTGTCATTCACATTTTCAAATCTCCTGACAAAATTCAAGAAACGTCAAATAGTAAGAAGCCATAAAAATGACATGCAAGCAACAATATAAACTTTTTCAATAAAATATGTATCTTTAAACTAAATTATAAAAATAGCAAAGGCATTGATGCTATTTTTATCATTTCCACTCCAATCGTCCTAACATAGAGGACCTATAAATTTTCAGAAAAATTAACTAGCATAAAATAAAAGAAAAAAAGTTGCTGAACAACGCCGAAAAAAGACCAATTTGTAGCAAAGAAAATTCATCAATTTTGCTGTTTGAGTTTCTAGCAACAAAGATCTAAAATATTTTTTGAGAGAAAAGAGAGATGGAGAAGGAACTTGGTAATTTTGAAGAAGAAAAAGTAACTGCCCTTGAAAGTAGGACTAAAAAGTGTAAATATATGTGGTTACCAGTTGTCCTCACACACTGAATAAAAAGTTAAACATGTGTATCTAAAAAAGGAAGTGTACACACGTAGTTATAGAAATTGATAGTGCAACTAATATTTCTTTTAATACAATACTACCGTGCACGGTTCGTCCTTTGCTTGTTGGCTTATATAAAAGGGTAAATTGATAACATCATTACTCTTTATGTACAAGTTGTGAGCCTACATCACCCAAAAATTCTATTTCTTTTCTTTCACTATCCATAACTTACATATTGTTGCTCTATCAGCTAAGCCTTACTTGGCCACCCCCGAAACAACTGTTCATGGCCATTATGAGGAAATCATTTACAAAGGAGATATATTAGTTATATTTACATATGAAAAATCGAGATTTGATTTAAAAAATCGAAAAAGTAAGTAATAAACTAATAAAAAGACGGAAACATAAGATAAACAACGCTTTTATACATCATTGTTTGCGACCCAAGATTCTATTTTCTCATCAATTTAATTTTCAATCACGTTTTTTTCTTTTCTTACCAACGAATAGATCTCTTTACTTGTATATATATTAAAAAATTTAAACTACTTTTTACAAAAATAAACAACCAAAGGTCAATTTTCACAATTTTTTTTTTTTTAGAAAAAGACAAACCTCCACGAAAAATATAATTTTGAAGAGTATAAATAAATAAAAAAGTATAGTAAGTAAATGTAACGATCCATTTGGTCGTTTTGAGTACTAGAGCTTTTTATTTCATAAAAGACTTTCCGATAGATTCTAAATGGGTATTTTGGACTATTCATAACTATATTGTGAAATAAATGGGGCAGTCTCAACATATCAGGTTTAAGGGTGAACTATTTATTCGAGCTTGTGTTGGATTCTCTCGGTCATGACCTGATGTCCATAGTTTTCGGACACAAATTACTTTATTTCATTTATTTCGGTGTCTTTGATACTCTTAGACTTAGTATTTAGAGATTAGATGTCCTTGATGTGATGACTTTTAGATTTTGGGGATAATATGTAATAGACTTTAGAGGTTTATTTGATTGGTTACTTTAATAAGTTTTGGAGCTTCCGCGTTATTGTTGTTATTCGTAGTTGAATTATTGGTATATGTTGGGGTTTAGATTCCTTGGTCTGCCCACTTAGGAGGTTAAGTGTGGGTGCCACAAGGACAAGTCTAGTAGAGTCTTGCGGATCGGTACGGGGACGCCTTTACTTTTCTTTGAGAGACTATATGACTTTAGGAAAATTTCATTCCTTCTTTCTTTAATGCTACTACATGAATCTAATTGGTATCTAGGTGATACAAATTGGTATCTGAACTTCTTCACTCTGTTTTACATATGGTTAGTAATAGAGTATTAGAAGTTGAAATAGCAATACTAGAAAGAAAAAAAAAATGTGTCCTTGGAAATATGTATATTTTCTCGATTGACTACAGGGCCTGTAATGACTAGTGATCAACATGTTTTTTTTTATTAAGTTCATAAAGTTGAATTTTTCATGGGTATTGATTATGAAGATGCTTATGCTTTCATAGTTGATTGTTTTGAGTTGCTTCATACAATGAATATAGTGGAGAGGCTTAGTGTTGAGTTTGTGACATACTAGTTTCGAGAAGATGCAAAATGTGGTGATAGTCTCATGGTGAGTGCCGATTAGTAAAGGCACTACCTATGACTTAAGGCAACATTGTCTAGCTTCTTCATCCAATTATACACCCAAACTTTGAGCGATAGGAGGAGAGATGGTTTACTAAATATAGAGAAACGGAAGATATGTGTTGTAGCCTGTCAGGTCAAATTTTGTACTTTATCTAGATATGTTACAATATGCAAGTAATTTCGTAAGGGACAGCTAGAAAATGAAAATCATTACATTAGCAAATACAGTTACTAAAGTTTTCATAACAGGTATGGGTTGTTTAGCGAATGA